GTCCCGGGGGGAGGGGGGGGGGGCAGATACGCATCCCCCCCGGGATGTCCCGGGACTTAGAAAAGCCCCCAGACTGGCCAAGAGTGCCCCAAGAGGCTTCCAAGACGGCTCCAGAGGGCCTCGAATCGCCGAACCATCGGTCGAAGACGCCAAAGTAGCCTCCAGACGGCCCAAGAGATTGCCAAGACGCTCCAAGAAGTCTCCAAGAGCACTCCCAAGAGGGCACGAAGAGGGACAAATCAATGATTTCCTTAAAATTTTTGACAGATTTTGGCGTTCTCGCCGTTTCAACTTGCCGACGCTCCAAGACGGCCCCATATGCCCCCAAGATTGTCCCAAGATAGCCCAAGAGGCCTCAAGAGAGCCCCAAAATGACCCAAGAGAGCCTCAAGACCGCCCAAGATACCTCCAAGATGGCCCCAGAGGCTCCCCAAACGGCTCCAACAGGGTGCCCAGACGGGGGGCCCGACGAGCCCTCGGCGACAGAGGCTCCCAGGAAGCCCCAAGATGCCCCCAAGAGGCCACCACGAGACCCCCAAGAGGCCCCCAGGAAGCCCCAAGAGGCCCCCCCCGCCACATTAGAGATCGCATGGGTCGCCCTCCAGGGTCGGCGGCACCGGCCAGAAGGCCTTCGCAATATACACAAATAAAAGGATTCCCCATATTTTCCAATATTTTCTGGGTTTTTGTCTTCCCCCACTTCCCATATTTTCCTATATTTTCGGGGGAATCGACGATTCATTGTCTCTGTGTGTTGTTTCCCTCCTGAATCATCCCCTCTGGCGCGGCACCGACCTGGATCTGGACCTGAGGAGGAGCGGCCCGTGGGCAAGTGCCCCTCCTGAGCGCGCAGTGGCCCTCGCTTCAAGCGCCTTCACCGTGCGCCTCTCGGTCTCGTAGGGCGTGCCGGGCCGGGTGCCCCAGGACGCCTCGCGGCGCCCGAGGCGGCCCCAGGACACCCCGAGAGCTGAGGGCTCCCAGACAGGGCCTTAGCTGATGGGATCGGGGGATCGCGCCGCATCGCCGATGCATGGCTGCTGCATTGACGATGCACGGGCGCCGTCGGCGTAGAGAACATCAGGCTCCACATCGAGCCGCGTCGCGGATGCATCGGTGCTGCGGTGCGATCCTCCGCCCCGGTGTGCTGAGAGCGCATTTGGGAGGTCTGGAAAGAGGCCCCCGAGATGTGTCGAAGCACCCCACCGAGGGCACGGTGGCGAAACGACTCGTAGGCCACTAGACGGCACACTAGTGGGCTGTGCGTTGTCCACGCCATACATAGTTCGAGCATCGACCAAATGTCCAGAAGCGCGGCAAGAACACTGAATGCAGATCACCTAAGCGAAGCGCATTCTATTTCAGGCTCCAGGTCGGCCAACCAGACCAAGGGCCAGCCGACAAGAGCCTGGGCACCAGCTCGCCTGGGCGGCCGCGCTTTCGGTTGTAATTGTGACCACCTCTCCTCTGAATCGCCGACCTTGCATTTGCCTTGGCCTTGAGCTTTCTCTGTCACCGCTGCAGAAACGGCACGCTTGACCTGCTTGGTGTCGCAAGCAGCATGCGACGCGAAGGACGCCCTTAACCTTGCTCTCCAGCTGCTGAATGGTCACCACGGCCAGATATGGGCAGGCACACCCACGAGGACCGAAAATGGGAAGAGGGGCCCCACCAGTGGAGACGACGGGGATCCCGGCGACCACGGCAACCCAAAGAACCGCAGCACCACAGGAACACGTAGTTGACGAAACCACAATGGCAACAATGAGGGCCACGACGGAAGCAACTCAACACTGGCCCAGCTCACCACAGACGCCCACACCCAAGCGGGCAACACGGGCTGTGACGCATGCGGAAGGCGCACCTGCAAGATGCACTGCCGTTGGCAGCCCTTTATATATACATATATACAAGACTGCAGTGGCGCTTCGCGCCATGCACCTTGGTCCTTGAAGATTGGTATGCAGGCGGAAATGGCAGGAAGGTCAAGCGGACAATTTAGCGATAACTCCTTGCTGCCTTTTCTGGCATCGCCAATATAATAATGTTGTTCGTTATCCTTCCTCCATGCTTGCTGTTCCTCATTCTCGCCATACCCTGGGCATTCTCCTCGTCCTCCTCAGCTCTTTTTGCGGAGGCTCCTCCTTGGAGAGCCTCTGGCCTCACCAAAGTTCTCAGGCTTTCTTAAAGCCTTCTGGAGGCCTCCTGGGCGTGTTCTGGGGGCCTCTGGGGCTTCCTAAGGCCAACCTGCCTCTAACCGCGGTCTCCCTGAACGCCCCGGTCACGATTTGGAATGCCTCGGAGGGTGTCTTGGGGCCATCTTGGGCCGCCGTGGGGCTCTCTTAGGGCCATTTTTGGACCCCTGTTGTGCCGTTTTGGGGCTCTCTTGGACTGCCTGGAAGCCCTTTCGGATGTTTGTGGGGCGATTTTGGAGCCTCCCAGGCGACTTCGGACGCCCAGAAGACCGCTGTCTTGGAGCGTCGGGAAGCCGAAAAGAGGAGAACCCCAAATTCACCAAGAACCAACATTCAATCAATGATTTGTCCTTCTTGTGGGGTCTTCTTGGGGGTGCTCCTGGAGGCCTCTTGGCACGTTTTGGAGCGATCTTTCGGGGTGTGACGGCTTCTTGGAGCGCTCTTGTGCTGTCTTGGGGTTCTCTGGGACGTCTCTGATGACCCCCCTGATCGCCCTCGGTGTGCTGCGAAGGCTTGGCAAAACGCCCTGCGAGGCCCGGGGGGCCGCTTCGAGGCCCGTCCGAAGGGTCCCACAGCCCCAGATCCTGGGAGTCCGGTTTTGGGGGGGGGTACGGGTTTTCCCCGCCCGGGTTTGTAAAAACATAGGAAGTGGAATATGTATATATATATATATATATATATATATATATACGTATTCATATGCACACTCGGGATGCCATAATAATCGCTCCCCCCCCCCCCCCTTGGTTCGGGGGGGCGGATGGGCGCGTGCCGCCGGGGGGAAAGGGCGGGGGATGGCAGTGTTGAAGCTCAAGTTCCTGGGCCAGGGGAGGGGGGGGGCGGCTGGCATCGGCAGTCTCCGACGGGGGGTTGGGGATTGGGTGTGCGACAGTGGCTTGGGGGGGGAGGGATGGGGGGTGGGGCGCGAGGTGGAGGATCGGGATAGCAGTGCACGTCAACGGCGGCTACGACCACGAAGACAACGACGACGACGACGACGGCGACGACGACGGCGGAGACGACGACGACGTCGACAGGGATGGAGACGGGGACGGGGACGGGGACGGACGACGACGACGACGACGACGGGGACGACGACGGCGGAGATGACGACGACGACCACGACGACGGGGATGGGGACGGGGACGGGGACGGACGACGACGACGCCGACGACGGCGGAGACGACGACGACGACGAGGGGCATGGGGACGGGGACGGGGACAGGGACGGACGACGACGACAGCGACGACGACGGCGGAGACGACGACGACGACGACGGGGATGGTGAGACGACGGGGACGGGACGTGGACGGGGACGACGTCGACGACGACGAATACGGACGACGACGACGACGAAACGACGACGACGACCGCGACGACGAGATGGGATGGGACGGGGGCGGGGACGGACGACGACGACGACGACGACGACGACGACGACGACGGCGGAGACGACGACGACGACGACGACCGACGGGGATGGGGACGGGGACGGGGACGGGAGGACGACGACGGACGACGACGACGACGACGACGGCGGAGACGACGACGACGACGGCGACGACGGGGTTGGGGACGGGGACTGGGACGGACCACGACGTCGACGACGACGACTACGGCGGAGACGACGACGACGAGGACGACTGGGGCGGACGGGACGGGGACGGGGACGACGACGACGACGACGGCGGAGACGACGACGACGACGACGGCGGCGACGACGACGGAGATGGGGACGGGGACGGGGACGGGACGACGGGACGACGACGACGACGACGACGACGACGACGACGGCGGAGACGACGACGAACGACGACGGGGATGGGGGACGGGGACGGGGACGGACGACGACGACGACGACGACGACGACGGCGGAGACGACGACGACGACGACGACGACGACGACGGGGACGGGGACGGACGACGACGACGACGACGACGACGACGACGACGACGACGACGACGACGACGACGGGGATGGGGACGGGGACGGGGACGGACGACTACGACGACGACGACGACGACGACGACGGCGACGACGACGACGACGGGGACGGACGAGGACGACGACGACGACGACGACGACGACGACGACGTCGACGACGACGACGACGACGACGACGGGGATGTCTGGGAGCGTCTGGGAGCGCCTGGGGAGCGCTTGTGACCGCTTGGAGGCGCTTTGGCGCTCCTGGAGCGTCTGGGAACTCTGGGGGGCGCCTGGGAGCGTCGGGGGCGCGGATCCTGAGGCATTTACCAAGGATAGCGGCCTCGGGGACGTAGATAATCTATGTGATATGTATCAATATGTACGCATCCATCCATCCATCCATCCATCCATCCATCCATCCATCCATCCATCCATCCATCCATACACACACATACATGCATGCATGCATGCATGCATGCATACATACATACATACACATACATACATACAGACAGACAGACAGACATACATACATATAGACATACAGACAGGCAGGCAGGCAGGCGGGCAGACAGACAGACAGACAGACAGGCAACATCCGCATAATAGGCTAATGTTTGACCAGGCGCTGCTCGCCCTCAGGAGCTTCCAGGGATTGATTTTGAGCTTGTCGTGCTGGCGGGCGACGTCAAAGAGTTCCCGCGATCCAGAAGAACGGCGCGCGAGCTAACTTTCGCCCGCCGACGTAATGCATCTGGCACTCCGCTGAACGCTCATGCCACTTGTCACTCGCTACCTGACGATTGTCAGGAACGACGCTCGCTCCGGAGAGCGATAGCATGGTATACATACAACGCATACACATGCAAAATAAGATTTCCAGGAATGATTGGGGGCATTATTCTTACCCCCGTGTTTCTACCACCTTTCCGCACACCAGCCCGCTACATTCTTCCTCGCCCGTCGGTGGGGAGCCAACGCGTCATCGTGATGTCGACAATGCCGGTTCAAGGTGCTGTTGCCGCCACTGTGTTCTACCGCGGCAAGAGCCCCCTCCCCCAACCCTCTTGCCCTCTTGCCCTCCTGGCGCCCCCCCCCGCTCTCCTGGGTCGGAATCCGCAGACGGTCACATGACCACTGCAGCTACCCGTCCCTGCCAACTCTTCGAGCCACGCCCCGCCGTGACGACAAGGGAGGCCGCCGACGGCCCCGCGTGAGGACAACGAGGACGAGGAGGAGGGAGGGCTCTCCCAGTGGCTCTCTCGCCACCCGAACTCCAATCTGTGACCGAAGGGGCCAGACAATGCGACAAATCGAATGTGCTTGCGCCGCTGACGCCACCATTCAGAAGAGGAGTGCCTCCTCCCCCCGCGCCTCCCCGCACCCTCGCTTTTGCGCCCCCGCGCCTCCCACCAAAGCACCCGCAGCTTGAGGTC